CCACACACTGCACACACTCTGTTGTTTCACACTCCGCTGCTTTTGCAACGCCAGGGAAGGAGATATGATTCGACTTACTGTGCATGAAGTCGTTACGAAAACCAAGAAAAAAACCCTAGTCTAAAGCAACTCAGGTGAAATTCTGGGAATTTTCAACCACTCGACAGAACCGGACAGTTCTTTTGTAAAATAGGCACAGATTGGTTGGGTTCAGGAAACAAAAGCAGCTGGTTAGTTAGTTTTAGGTTAGAAAAGCACTTGGTTAGAGTCACGTTACCGAACGTACCGGGTTAGGTTGGGGAAGATGTTTAGATCAGGTTAATATAAGTCAATAACTCAAGTACCGTACGCACTTAAATATATTGGCAAAAGTTAATTACTTATAAATAATACCCAGTGGTATTTTTGGGCCAAGTGTGCGATACTGCTGAGTGTAAAGAATTCCATTGTGTAGTTTGTAGAATTACGATTACATTGATTTGGTTTTTGGGCAACTGTTTCTTTTCTGATTTGAAAACTGCTCTCAATGAAATTACAGTTTTGATACAAACACAGTCATTCACCTATTCACAGTCAGATATCTCAGAACCAGAAGAGGTACAAACACCTAAACATAAACAAACCACACGCCTTAAGAGGAGCAGTAGTAGGTTTTCTTGCAGCTCACGATCTCATGTTTTTGTTGGCAATTGTGCTGCGATAATTCCGTGCATGATCCGAGAGCATTCGTCATGGTCATCTGAGCTCAAACAACACATCTAATTGAGTATTGAGTGATCAATATCCCCCCTCCACCACACACACCCTCTCAACATTTTGTGTACTCCAACCCTCAGAAAAAGCAAGCCCATTATCTTCTATTGATACTGTGTTCATCAGCCACAGATGTCAGAGCTCCATGTTAGCACGCATGGGAGGCTTGGCAATTTTCCGCGGGGTGTCTGTGATGTGCTAAGCAGGGAAGACAAATCCATCTCCGGAGGAATTGTGACGCAAAAAACAACGGTCCTGCCACTGTGCACAGCAAAATGGACAGACTCAAATTAACACTATTGGAGTTAATTTCAACACTTTTAAAGTGTCCCATGGGGTCCACACTACACAGTGTCAATGTAACACTTTTTAAAGTGTTGCCATTTTAACACTGTTATAGAGTTAATTTTAACACTTATATAGTTGAAATTTAACAATACTCAAGCGTTAGTTTCTCAACACCAGTGGGTAGTGTTAGAAATTAACACTCATCGGAGTCATTAATTAACTCTTATAGTGTGATGTGCATACTATAAAAGGAGTTGCCCCATTAACACTATAAAGTGTTATTGCTGCCCCGCCCCCCCACACAAAAAAAAATCTTTAAATGAAATGTCAATAATTAGAAATACAAATGACAAGTTCACTACTTTAACATTTTTATTTCTTCAAATGCATCAACATTACCAAATATTTTTTCATTGCTGTACATTTATCTAAATGTAACAATAAGGCACCATGTTCGCTCTTTGACTATTGTCATTAGACCATTGCTTGTCAAATGGTCTAAAATAAGTCAGTGCCTTCACAGATATGACAGAAAACACATTCATTTGGTCTTCTGTACAGTATGCACTAAAGTGGTCATCATAGTACATTGTTTGTACATTACAGGATATTATGAAAGCGTGCTGTTCATGTATTATATCACCGATCTTTTTGAACACAGGAAGATCATCGGTACATCCAGTGCATAAGTACAACCCAACCTGGTACTCAGTACCGTAATATCTGACCCACCTTGTACTTGTAACATTTGAACAGGCGTCCAAATGTAATGTCTAAAGCTGCCACTGATGTGTGTGCCTTGCACGGGAGTGGTTTCGGTCGATAATAAGGTAGAACCTTTGGATATTCTTCTTTTGCTCACCGATGCAAAGGAGGAACGGTTGTTTGCGTCGACACTCTCAAGGAAGGTAGGAATACTGGCTCCTTCCTGTAGGTCAGTTAAGAGACATAAATTAATATAACATCTTGATCCCATTTCTGCAGATATACAGAGCAAAACTGTCTCAGAATCCCAACATCTATTCAGGGATTCTTGGTGTAGGAACTTTTGCATACCTTAAGATATCTAACAAGACGGCTGGTTGCTTGAGCTGAACTGATCTTGGTAGTTTTTTTCTGGCCCCTTGAAGTTGGAGGGAGTAGATGCAGCAGCAAAAGGATTGAAGACATATCACTGTCCCATCCTAAAGGCATAAAAAATGTATTTATTTAGTATAATACTGAAATATATATTTCAACAAAACGTTTTATACTGACCATTGTTCTCTTCAGTCTCAGATTCAGTTGCTGACAGCAACTCATCCATATTCTTTGCAGTCTTGCAGTCTGTGATGTTTGGCTTGAAGAAAGTTGACCACTTGGATAGGAACTTCTGAGACACTTCGTCACCAAACATCATTGAGAAATCTTCGTCGATCTACAAACAAGAAAAACAATATTTTAATATAAAGGTTCAAGCATACATGACAAAATTAATGAAAGGTCAAATACTGAAATGGAAGATTGAAAAGAAGATTAAAGGGATTATAGTATAGTGCCGAAAAATATTATATTGTCCTGCACTGGACTATATTACTGTTCTACACTGGACAACTACAACCAAAGCAAAAGAGCTTTCTTACCAATCCAGGTACATCAAGAAAACGAGGGAACACATCCAGGAATGAAGATGATGCATCATCCCCAACCATCTTCTGTCGATACTGGAAAGTCACTCTCATCGTCTCTTTGACCACAGATTCATCGCTGGAATGTCTTATTGTAGATATCGCCTCCCTGCACTCCTCACCAAATAGCTGTTGGCAGGTTGACAGAGATTCTCGCCTGGTTTTTGGACCATCCTGAAGAACGGTCTTGGAACGACCCCGCAAGCCAGCAAAGGTGTTGCGTTGAACCGTCTTGATCCTCCGTGAAATGAAGCCAGTATTACCCTCAGGATCATAGTAGTGTTCCTTTTTAAAGAAAGACACAAACAGAGGCATCTCATGCTTCCATTTAAGAATAAGTTACTCAACACAAAAATTGTAGACAGTGAATAGACTGCAAAACAGGTTGAAAATGCAAGGGTGAGCAACCTACAAAAACTCATCTGAAACAAGATGAGTACAAACTAGAAAAGTGAAGAAGATATTGAAATCACACTGATTTGGTTTTCAGATAGAACTTACATATCCAAGTTTGGAGAATGGATCACGGAGGTATGGAAAAAGAGTCACAATTCCCAGTGCATAATTGGTCCTTACACTTGACGGTGGAACCCTCCTTTAAAAATAAGTCATAGTTTACTTTTAAGCACGTATGTCTTGTAAGAATAAATACACCCTTACCACCTATACAGAACAGCATTATTTAGCTACAACACATGACATAACCAAGTGACCTGCAATTCTTACCCATGTAGCTCTATCATATCTGCAACCAGGATGTTCACCATTTGTTTACGGGTTGCATCAGTTAGTGTTTTAGTCTTATCATACTCATTGAAGACTTCTTCACCCTTTGGATTGGCCCTCAGAACACCCTCAACCATCTGCCAAGAAATATTACATTGTTATGGCATGCTTACGGTAAATTAGTTTTTTTTTTAAAGAATTTAACTTTTCTAATGACATTACTTTATACTGCGAATACATTTACAAAAAATAATTAATTTTGGATTTCAAATGTATTTATTCAAAGCTCTACCTGTTTTGCTTTATTCTGGTCCATTAACCCTGTTGGGTTCTTTCTTTTTTTTCCTTTTTCTTGTGGACTCCAGAATAACGGTGGAATCAGATGAATGGGATAAAGCTGGGGATAGTGCAGTCTGTGCCACTACCAAGGATGAATGGGATGAAGTTGGGGACAGCGATGTCAATACAGAGGAGGATGCTTGATCTGCAACCAGCTCAACATCCAGATCTACAAAATGGCAGACAGAACAAAGACAATTTAAATGTACCTATCAGTAACAAAACAATCTCAATCTTAAATAAAGCATTTAAAAAGTACTAAGCATATTATATTCTTCCTTAATTACTACCCAGTGATAGATCATATGTATTTAAGACAATGATTGTCAAGTGTTACGCCACACATCGTATTTCTCACGCTGAAAAAAAAGTCCGCGCTGGCTCCCCTCCAACCTTCCCGACTGTGTCTGTAACCGTAACCGCTGCACGTAGTGTCCACGCCCGGTCAGCCGTAGCGTTCAGCCCCCCTCTTCAAAACTTGAGCCCTTGTTGAGTAACTATAAGCACAGTAAAACGTATTTGAGAAAAGAGTCCTTCCGATTAACTTTCCGATAGTAACTTCATATTAACTACCGACACTTCTGATAATCAAAATGTAATTTAGATATACATATACCCAGTCCTCGTATGAGAATATTTGCTTTCATGCAGCTAAGACGTGGGAACCGGTTCTGGCTCTTAGCTAGCCAGCTAACTAGCATTTATTTATTTGAAAGAATGTTGGCATTACTAAAGTACCGTCACGTAACTTAACGTTACATTGTCAAACTTGAAACACTCAACAGGAATTCTATTTTGCTCAAAGTCAGACTCAATAGACCAGTAATCAGAAAACGTGTGAAAGTAGAAGAAACAAAGTCTTGCTAACGTTAGCTTGGCAACGTTAGCTTGCCAGTTACCGTACAGTAGTTTGTCCGCTCTGGGCGTAGGTTGCGGTTGCTAGCTAGCTGACATTAGCCTGGCTGCAGTAAAGGCGGCAGCATAACAGTTAACCTACATTAGAGCGGCTATAAATATATTACTAATGTCTAAATATATGTCCATCTGTATATAATAATGGCACTCATTAGGTTATCTAATTAACTGTTACTTACCGACACAATGCAACACGTTTTCTTCAATTTTGAACAAACTGTCCTCGAAAACGTTGTGCTGCTCGTTGTTCCAGTTGAGTTGTGCAGGTAAATCACTTGAATCCCGCCAGATTGTTGCTCTCACGAGATTATTGTTCGCGCGATGCCAGAGGGTAGTCACTCCTTACACCCGAGCTGAGAGACTGACGACCCATAGAGTTGGTTTCACAATAACAGTAATAACACTCCATTTTGACACCAACTCTTTTGTGTTGCAGTGTGAAATCAAACAGATTTAACAACATACAGATTTAGATCAATTCCAAATAGAGTTCGATTGACTCTATCTTTATCAACACCAGAAATTTAACTCTGCTCAATTTGCTGTGTGCTCATCATCATCAGGGGCCAGAAAATCAGCAATGACAGGTAAAAACACCAGCTTGCCAAAGTCTGCCATATTTTCGCGACAGGGCAAAAGCGCATATTGCACGTCATCAACAGAGAACATAGATGCTCGGATGTCAGCTATTTTAGTGGGCCATTAGCCTGCCTGTTAGTGTTTCATCAGAAGGGTATATGGTTTAATTTATAAATTAGCGCTCACATGATGTCTGTTGTGAATAGGCAAGCTAACAAATGAGTACCTTCAAGAGCAACTTGTCGTGTTGGGAGTAATTGTTCCTTCATGCCGTCATTAGTGTTCTACAGTGCTTGTAATTTCCAGTCACACCAGTAAATTCACAAAAAGATAATAGTGATAATGATGAAATGCTAGTCCCATGGCATGGGATAGAGTGTACCATTTGTAAAAGTGCATGTTTTTACATTGCTCGCGGTAGAAATCAATACTGATGAATGATGCTTTTGTGTCTGCCTTTTGCTGTGGCTGTTAGCCATCTGTAGCTGTAGTGCCCACTTACAATGTGTCCGGATACCGTCTGGTCTGCACATCAAAACACACTCCCACATTGAGTTGAAACAGCCATTGTTTGAATATTTGCTTGGACACGAGGAAGCAAGATGAGTCAACACCGGGGTTAAAGGAGCAGCGAGAGGCACAGTGGGAAAATTGGTATTTTCTCACCCACACACCTGTTCTCTACCTATACCTGAAATAAATCTGTTCACGGTCTGGAACAGGCCCTTTAGAACGTATAGTTGTGAATGTCTTGGATGGAGAACCGAGGGGTGGACAAAGGAGGACAGATGCGGAAACCACGGCGCTATTATGCCAGCGGCGGGAACAGGCTGACTGGATATAAAGAGCTTGTGATTTGGTTCTGAAGACTAGTAACATTTATGTCCTCCCGCGCTGCAGAATTTCTTTCCTTTAGACGTGGAGATAGATTGCACCTGTAGCTTTCTCATTTTATATTGGGTCAGACCCCTGCGTTCACTTGAAGCAATATTATGAAAAAAAAGGCAAGGTGTTGAAAGAAAAAAAAAACACCCAGTGAATTCAACCCACTACCACCTTCAGTAGCACGTCCACGACTCGCGTTGAACCTTTTTAAAGCAACTTTACTGCAGTAGCACAACATCCACTCCACAGCGTAGCTACAGAGTGGGGGTGCACACAGCGCTTACCCCCCCCCCAAGCTGACAGATACATGCGAGGGGAGGGTTTGCATGCCGCTTGCATCAGGGTGCCAGTGGGAGGTGTTGAGTGTCTGAGGCAGGCTCCCTCATCGTCTGATCCCCTGCCCACGGGCATGGGGGGAAGCTGCCTCTTCCTGAGATTTCACACTGCTCCTCTCTGTTTGATTGCAAATGCCGTCTCTCCCCACCGGCTGCTTTCCAGCGTGCGCGCCACACCGCTATGATCGATGGCGAACAAATATATGAGAGACCCACAGCTCATAGAGGGATAACGTGGGAAAAACAGCTACTATCGTTTGGGAGTGCTTCAGTGTTATTAATGGTATATTGACGGGCCCCTGCAAACATTTTATGTGGTAAGTGACTAAAATGTTCCGAGAAACAAAGGGCAAAAATAGGAAAAAAATCCAACGTCTGAGCAGACATTAGCGTCTGGTGCTCACTATGAGTGCAATAACTGAAATGTGAGTGCATTCGCTGGTTGTCGCACTCTGTGAAGAGAAACAACTAGAAACCAGGGTTTTTGTATTGCATTTCTTTAGCTACGACATGTCAGGTCTTGTTATTCAAGTGTTCACAACAGTTTCTCACAGTAAGCAGAAGCTACCCAAACAATAAGTATATTTTTGTTTCCCTCCAGAGGGAAGCATTTTTAACAGAAGGGGGAAACTTTGCTACGAGCGCACATAGTGTTGACGTGCACATTTCCTGGCTCATTGTAATGGAATGCAAAAGAACAATAGCAGATCTTGTAACCACGGACGTGCTCGTTCCCATTTCGCCAGCAAGTTCAGAACGCTTGGCCTGGAGGATTTGTCACCTTTGTCACCTATGCAGAAAGTGCAGAAAAGGCTGTACTTTACTATTTAGTTATTCTATAGATTATTAGTACGCATTTCATTAACGCTTTACGTGCACAAACCGCTTTTGTCGACGGATTTATTGGAAGAGTATCAACATAATAAAAGACAGGTAAATACTTTGCATAACACAGCCGTGAAGGTTTTGTATTTCACAGTTTAAATGGCTGACATTAGAGCATCTATGTGTGTTCGTCAGATTAATCAGTTCTTCAGTCCGCAGAAGGGGATGCCGGTATGACGGTTTGTATTGTTAAGCGTAAGGCCCGTGTCTCCTTCTACAGACCCGGTGAGGTCTGAATCCTGGCAATTTTCTTAGCAGGCAAGCCGCTTACCGACAAAGGCTGATGAGCGGACATGTCGACCGGTGGAACGTCAGCAGAGGCCGATGTAGATGGTTCAGCGGGTGACGGCTCACCTCCTGTCTGCTCCCTCACCGTCCACCATTTTTGTCTTTTTTGCAGTTCCTTTATTCGAAGACTGCCTTTTGTATCGCTGCATTCGACAAAAGCTTTTGCACCTGCTCACAGATCGCGTTATGCACCACCTCCTCGGATTGAGAAGTTGATATGCGGTGTGATATGTCAACCAACTCTAAGGCTTTGTCAAACTGTGACGTACACGAGGCATCTCCAGATAAAATGGAATCCAAACATTGGTTGGGGGAGACTGGGAGGAAACGGTTCTAAATGATGATGTGTGGAGAACAGCTTCATGCCTCTGCCTCCAACAATATGTTTGGCTTGCTGGCCAATTACTGGCTGGAAATTGCATTCTGAACTTTGACAACCCAATATTGATCTGCCTCAGCTGCCAATGCAAAGCCCCCCCCCAACCACCCCCCCCCCCAAAAAATAAAAACAAATAACAAAATTGATTTATCACAAACATAGGAGATTCAAGTCCATCCCAGTTTCCCGCCTTCTTGAGTATTCTTCAAATTAACGTAGTCACTTTTCTGTGATCACCATGTCTCTGAGGCATCATAAAACGTACTCCGAGTCCATATAATTCTGCTCCATAGCGGAGGTTAGGATTACTTAAATATTCATAATGATTTCTGGCAATAATTGCAACACGTTAGACAGCATTATGATTACCTATTAGGCCAGAGATCACCATTCCTGATAGCTCCTAGGGACGGATTCATTTTGCAAGCATAACAGTGTATTATAATTCCCATAGTTCTGATGTATTATAGTGGGATTATAAATTACTCTAAATTGTCAAGTAAAGTGAAAAGAATAATGAAATTAATGACACTGTATTGAACAATGAGTAATTATGATAACATAATGCATTAGAACAGAGATTGTTTTAAATGTGCTTAACAGTGTACTGTGATTCATTTTAATGTATACATGTGCTAATTTATGCAACCATACAATGTTATAATAAATAAAGCCTTAATGCAATGTTAGTTTTTTTCTTCTGCAGCCATGTTAACAAATACATAGAACGTTCATCCCCAGATAATCTATATATTGCATTGAAACATCGCACAACCTACAGCGCAGTACGTCTTCAACACAGACCTACTGTCACTCAAGTCAATGTTGCCTTTAGACGAAACGATGCCTACATCATTTCGCCCGAGTCTTTTATTTGAGCAGTCAGCTTTGATAAAGAACAGCAGTACTCGATATGCTGTATCCCATTTCATATTCATGCACAGGGCTTCAGGGAGGGCAGAGTGGGATTTTTGAGTTTGAAAGACATTAGT